CTACTGCTACTCGTATACACTACTCGTACGATTACCTGTCGGTGGTAGTAGTGGTGGCTGTAGTAGTAGTAGTAGTAGTAGTAGTAGTAGTAGTAGTAGTAGTAGTAGTAGTAGTAGTAGTAGAGTAGTAGAGTAGTAGAGTAGTAATAGTAGCAGTAGTAGTAGTAGTAGTAGTAGTAGTAGTAGCAGCAGCAGCAATAGTAGCATGGTTGTGGTAGTAGTAGTAGTAGTAGTAGTAGTAGTAGTACTAGTAGTAGTAGTAGTAGTAGTAGTAGTAGTAGTAGTAGTAATAGTAAGCAGAAAGGAGTAAGGAGTAAGGAGCAAGTAGTAAGTCGTAAATAATAAACAGATAGTAGCCAGTGTTAAATAAGTAGTAAATAGTACGTGGTAAGTTGTAACAGCAAACCTGATGGGACCCACGAACCCGAATGCAGACACGCGTCACGTATATTGCGAAGAGTTATGAATACCACCAACACCCACCGTCATGTTTGTGGTATCCATAGGCAACTGTCTAATTTGGAAGATAGCGCGTCTATCGATCAGTATCCCCGCGCTACATTTACGTCGCTTCAGGGCACAGCGAAAGACACGGAGCGCCGTAGGACCGTCGCCAGTGCTCCGTGGCCACACGCCATTCCCGGACACGACCCACGACACCTTTCGGGAGCCTTTCCCACTGTGTCCCGCAGCCCGTGCCACTGCCCGACATGGCCCGCGACCCCCAAACCGCTTTCTTCGAAGGTCCGGCCGGCGCCGGCGGCCCCACGCCACTCCGCAATACTCCCCACGACGCGCCAACGGCTTTCCCCGAAGTCCGGTGGGCATCTCGCGGACGCTTGCGAAAGCTTGCAGACACTTCGCGAACATGAAACGCACGGCCTTTTGTCAACCTGTAACCCCCCACCCTTAAAACGAGAACCCTCCTGCAAAGCATTCGAGAAAAAGAAAGAAAGTAGCAAGTGGTAAGCAGCTAGTAGCAAGTAGTCCGTACAAGCTAGTAATCAAAAAAGTCAGTAGTCAATGGATAACAGTTATGAGTATGACTAGTAGCAATAGCAGCAATGGAAATGGCATCGATAGCGATAGTGGTGGTGATGGTATTAGTAGTAGTCGCGGAAGTGGAAGTGGTAGTGGTAGTGGTAGTCGTAGGAGCAAGAGGAACTAGTAGGAGTAGTAGTAGTAGTA